ACTCACAATTTTCCTCTTGTAAATACATTTTAATCAAAAAATTTCATACAAGTTTCTCTGATCTAAGTGCATGGGTGATGGTATTGTGACTACCTATTGCTTGGCTCTTTATTTATTTATTTATTTTTGAATATGAGACACTAGATCAATGCCATTTTTCTAAATTTGGTTTAAAATCTAATTCTACAGTAAATAATTTAATTTGTACCATGAACCTCGAGCTTAAGGTGTGTTATTAGCTTAATTAGTAATTTATACAATTCTACCAATGTCCTTTTCTAGTACATTTTTTTGTACTTTTCTAGGAGTTGTCATTAGCTGTGGCAGTACCAGATATTCTATCTAGGGATCAGTATCACCAAGGTTTATGACTTCATATGTGAGAGTTGCCTCTGCTAGTATATGTAAGGGGGCTGATTTTGTAGTCTGTTCTCACTCTCAGAAATCAGTACATTCTAACAGTAATTGTCTCTAGAACCTCAATCTCATTATTCGACAATGGATGGTGACAATCTCCGCTTTTGGATAAGTTTTGTGTCATCAATGACAAACATGGTAATGTTTTGCTTGGTTATTTCCACATCCATCTTCTTTCCATAACCCCTGTTTTAACTTCAGCCCAATACTACATTCGGCCTTGGCCATGACCATTGCCTTAACAAGACTACGGTTTTCAGTATCACTTCTGGATTTGTAATCCAATTGTAGGCACCCTCTACAATGAAGCCGATGTCTCAATGTTCTACTTGCACCATAAGCACCAAATTTTCGCTTTCTGCAGTAGTCCTGCAATACATTCTTATCACCTGGGTGCCTGCCACTGTTGTTTCAAATGATGGCTTCACTGCTTTCTCTTCTATGGTTTCGGACATCAAGTGCTGCCAGCTTAACCTTACTGTCAAGCTCACGACGGACAAAGGTGGGACTATTACTTGCCCTCCAAGCTCAAGGTGACATGCAACCACATTGAGGTCTGTCGTCTTCTTGCTGGGCTTGGTGCTTCCATCTCTTACGAAGTCTATTGAAAAGTCCTTGAATTTAAGGAGTATTTGTTCTATTTTATTTTATTTTTCTGCTTCACTTTTTTTCCAAATTAAGTCACTTGTTTTGTGTGGAATGTGGTAGTTTTATGGACAGATTGATGAAGTTTAAACAGAGTGCAATCTAATTGTTCAAATAGGATCCATTCGGGTCTATTATTAATTGGGGAGATGATGCACATACAACTGATATATGTATGGCCCACCTACAACACCAATCAAAAATGCCAACTCACCATTAGCTAAAAAAATGAGTGGGAAAAAAAATTGGTTTATGGCGCCATGTATAAGAAATAGGTGGAATTTTTTGCGGATGAATTTCATTGGCACCAATCTAGCTATTACGTTACTAAAAAAATACATTACGTTACTAAAAAATACAAACTTGTTACTAGAGATAACATTGTCCTCATTCGACGATATTATACAAACTACAAATTAAAAAATATTATAAAAAAACCAATGAAATTCTTTTTTTAATGCTTTTTATATAGGCATCCATATCGATATACTTTTGAAAATGTTATAAAATTGGACAATTTTAACCTTAGTATAGTTTATGATATTATTAATAAGTGTTAGTATTTAGTCGTTATTGTTATTAAAAAAATTTCAAAGATACCCAAAATTACAAATTATAATTTTATTTAAAGTAATCGTATAAAACTTTATTGGTGTTAGATACAAATATATAAAAATTAACTTTATTTTCTTAATCTAATATTTTAAAAATTGTTTTGTGATAGTTTCTTGGTTTTATTGTACAATTCTGCGATCTCATTTGTTAATATTATAATTAATTTATTTGTTTATGTGACTTTCGACTGAAATATTGAAATTTGAATATAAAAAATGATACTGAGAGTTGAAATCAGATGTTATACGAATTAAGTCATACATTATTAGAGGGTTGAATTCATGTGTTGAAGGGTTTAAACCAAACAGTTGTGGGTTAAAATGAAATCAAAAAGGATTACGCAAAATTATTATCATTTACTGCTAAATACTCCCATGTGTTTATAATTTATCTCCTTAAAGATAACATTGTTACTAAGAAAGGGCTATTTAATGAATTTTTATTTGATTATCACATAGAGAAACCAAGTAGAAACAATGCAATTTTATGATTATTTTAAAGTATTTATTTCATTATTTTGCTCATGTATGACATATTACACTAAATGATTATTTTAATTGCTAACAATATATCATTGCTAAATTATCCACTGTGTTTACAACTAATTTCATGGATCAGCATCCCCTGTAGCTATAAAAATAAGTTAGATATTCTAAATTTTTGAAGAAAGATTTGGAGGGGGGGGGGGGGTCACCTAATAATAATAATAATAATAATAATAATAATAATAATAATAATAAGAAGAAGAAGAAGAAGAAGAATCACACAAACAACTACAATAAGAAGAACAATAATAAGACCCAGGCGTTACTCAAACTCATCATAAGCTTTCAAGTTTGATCTAAATTGATTAATAAGGGCTCATGTTGCACACTTTTTCTAGGAGAAAGAAACTGTATTACTGTTAACCTATACCGTCTTTCATCATAAAATATAAGATATGTCGCATTTAAATAAGGAGGTTATACAAATGAAGACTTTTTCAGGTAGATTTATTATTTTAAATAATGAAATTCACGTCAATGATGATTTTTCCAAAGAAACTTATCATTATTGTGATGCTAGTAAGGATCTGAGGAGAAATAATACATTTATTACAATTTTATACTCCGTAACATACAAAGTTCCTTTAACAAGTAAACGCTTCTTACTTGTTTGAAGGTGAAATAATAATAATAAGATGGATAAAAATGATAGTAATAATAATTATAATTTAATCATGATATTTCATTTTGCAATAAGCACTACTATTTTATCAAACTAGTACTGTGCAATATTGAAACAAAAGGTATAATTATTTGTGACATTTTTCCGAATCTAAAAGAAATTTTTATTATATATTCGTCACAAAAAAAAAAAAAAGTTAATTTATGAGTCAATTACTTGTGATCTTATTCAACACTTATTATTGATGTGAAAGTCTATTGTTATTTACTTGAATTGATTACCTTTACTTATTCACCTTGATTTTTTTTTATTTTTTTTTATTTTTTAAGGAATCACGTAACTCGTAATCAAAGTTGCTTGTGTTACTAAAAAACTTTCTAATATTGTATTATGAATTGTTGTGTCGTTTTCAGATATGTGCTTACCAAAGATAGTTGCCCGTGTTACTAACAAATTTTCAAACAACATTGTTCGAATAATATTTTGGGTTTTTTCGCCATTGTCGACGACCTTAGACCATTTTCAACCAACACTGTTGTCGGCCTTCAAATCTCCTATTTATTTATTAATCAATATGCCTTCGGTTACTTGTGTGCCTTTAACAATTATTGTATTCCAACAAAAAATCCAAATTCATTTGAAATCAATAGGAAAAGAAGACCCATTTCACTACTTCAATTGAAAACGAGTATATTCTGCAAACACACCATTCCATAATTGGAGACGATTAATGGAGGAATAAGTCAATTAAACCGCAAAATATTTAACATACACAATATATTCTGCAAATAATATATAAATGTTTACATTGTTAATTGGAATATAACCTATTTGAACACCACAAAATCGAAAATTCTGAAACTTATTTAACTCGATATTTCTTAATATTCTCAGGTTAACAACAATTACTTTGTTTTAAATGGTGGATGTAAATTAAAGCTTCTATAACGATAATGCACCAGCTTCAAGGGTTTTTTTTTTTCCATCTTCCATGGTCGCCCATTTCGCCCTTTCTCTTGAACGTTGTTCATTGAGTTGAAGAAATGAATTTTTTGGTGCTTGACTAGTTGAAGAAAGTTTTTTTTTAAAAGATATTAAATTAGTAGCATTGGAAATGACAAATAATTTCAAATTCAAACCTTTGTTTAATATGAAGTGTCATTGCAAATTTGAATGAAATTTCAAAAGTAGTGGAGTTTGGGGCCCATTAGAACTACCAATGAAAAGCTGTCATGCAACATTGTATGTGGTTACCACATACAACGGAGATGATACACATATAACTGTTGTATGTTTGGCGCACATATAGAGTTTTCGATGCATCTAATTTAAAGCATATCTATTCAAGGCTTTTCACTTTCATGTAGGAGTTGGACCTTTCAAATAGGTTCATTTTGTCAAGTCTATCTGTAAGGCTCTCGATTCCTTTGAGTTATTCCCTCTTTTCGTTCAAGTCCATTCGATTAAAAAATCTTTCTACCATCTCTTATCCCTCTCTATGAGTCCGCTCGGATAAATCCAATATCTCTACTCACAAGGGGTTTTTTTTTTTTGTTTTGTTTTGAAGACAAACACGACAAACTTAATTTACTACTATTAAGTCAAGGTTCGCCAAAGTTTGAAAACTTTGGGGGAACAAATTCATACATATACGTTCCGAATTAATACCCATATCGCACAAAGCTTTATTTACTTCTCTTGTTACATAAATTTAGAAAGTAGAATTTTGTTAAATACGTAAAATCTATTGAAAGAATGCAACGGGATATTAAAAAAAAAATTGTGGAAAGAGATAGTAAGGACTTTTCATTTCAATACAATGTGGTTCAAAAATGTTAGAGAAGCAATACTATTTAGATGGACCAATACCAAAATAGAAAATTGGTATATCTACCTTCATCCATCAAAACTATATCATGAATATGTGGGATAGAGGAAGTGATGCACATGCTTTTAGTGTTACAACTTTATCATTCCCAAAAAGACTAATAAAATATCTACCATCACATCTATACTAATATATTAAAAATTTCCTTAGCTGTGGGAATTACGTGTGACCATGTAAATGAAAAACAATATATTTAACAATTATTTTAAAATGACATCATTAAGTAATATTTTAAATAAATGGTATTAAGTCTTACAAACAATGCATATCTTTAAAAGTGTTACAAATAATATTTATTTTTGTAACACAAAATATTTTGTAACAAGCAACAATACTGCACCTCAATTCATTGCAGATTTTTTTTTTTTTTTTTTTTTTTTTTTTTTTTTTTGAAGAATTCATTGCAGAAATTATGTAAAATAAACTTATTTTTTTAACACAAACTATTGGGTGCGGCAATCCACACTCAATAGTTCGTGCGGCAGCGGCACTCCATCCTTCCACCACCTGCAAAACCAAAATAATCCTAAGAAAAAACGAAATCCCCAAAATAAAACAAATCACAAATTAAAACAAATAAATAACCCTAAATCGAAAAATGCAAAAAAAAACTTACAATTAGAGGTGCTAATGGCGTGACGTCGGCTTAAGGTAGAGGTGGTGGTGGTGCGGCTTCGGTGGTGGCTATGCGGCGTTGGCTTGAGCGAGGAAAGACAAGGGGTGCGATTTGAGCGAGGAAAGAAAAGGTGGTTTTCTGGGTTCAACTGGTGATGCGATGGAGCTGGGCAGTGTTGCTGCTGTGTTCGGCGGTTTAATTTGGTGGTGGGTCGGTGCTAGGTGATGTGTGAATGGTGGGCGAAGATATGTGCGGTGGAGCAGGGGATTGCGTTGGGAGGTGGTTGTGGTTGTGTGAGGTAATTAATGAGGCCAATGTGTTGCGGTTGTTGTAATGGTGGGAGATGCGGCTGCTACTAGGTGATTTGGTGGTGTGAGTGTATTGTCTTGGGTGGAGCAGGCGAGTGAAGTGAGGTGGCTGTGAATTTGATGTTGTTGCTGAGTTTGAGCAAGGGAGTGCTGGTGAATGTGGAGGTTATATGGTGGTGGGGAGGAAGTGTGAGGTTTCATTTTATTACGCATATCAGCCATCAAAATGAACATATTAACTAATTGATGTCTGATATCAGCCAACATTAGGGACATATTAGACATTAATAAAAACGTATCAGTCAACACAAGGAACATATCAGCCAATAAATGAAACATGTAATTTAACAAAAGGAACATATCATTTAACAAAAGATACATATCAGCCAACAGAAGGAACATATCAGCCAACAAATGAAGCATATCAGCCAATAAAGGATAAAATCAGCAAACAAAAGCAACAGGTAAGCCAATAAAATAAACACATCAGCCAACAAAATGAAACATATAAGACAACAATTAAAATATACATATCAACCAACAAAATATGTAAAGATATCAGCCAACTAAAGAAACATATCAGTCAACTGATGTCAACCAACACAAAAAACATATCAGCCAACAAGTGAAACATATCACCCAACAAGTGAAACATATCAGCCATGCCTGCCGTACGCATAATTTGCGTACGACAGTCCGCACCCAATACCTTCTCTATTTTTAATTCCAAAAACCTTACTACGCTGAATTAAATTCTAATCATTATGTAGAATTAAAGAGAAATCTTAAATTATTTGTGATACATAAGAAAAAATAAACCTTTTTTTTTTTAGAGAATATAAACTTAGTCATAAGTAATTTGTGAATATTAAACTTTTAGAATTTTATTTACTAATACTTGTATTTGAGGATCATAGTGCTTAAAGAGGGTAAGGAGAAAACGATTATAAAAAAAAAATAAAAGAGAAAAATGATGCGAGAATATTGTTATACTAGATGAAAGCCTGTGCGATGCATAATTTTTTTATACATTAATACATGAAAGGATAATTTTCTTAATAAACCATATAATATTTTGACTAATTTCTACTGCTTGTTAGAAAAAATTAATTTTTATTATTTTTATGTAAGTTATACTTATAAAAAAAATAGTTATAAATGTGATATTTCATTCGTAGGATATTAAAATAAAATATTTAATGTTAAAAGATTTTTTTAAAATAATTTAAATCCTAAATCACTTTTTTTATCTATTACTTTGTAATTGAAATTACAATCTTTAATCTCATTCGTTAATTTTTCAATCTTATATGACGATTGATTTTTTAATTCTAAAATAAAATGTAATTGTTTTCATTGCTAAAAAAAAATGCGTTTGTATGTGTTATCTCATTTGAAGGATATTAAGATAAAAATTTTAATATGAAAAAGTATATTTTTGTTACTTCGTATTTAATTTAAACCACTATTTGTAATTATTTATACCGACTCATAAAATAAACTCTCAAATACAATTTGTTGATTTTGCTTGCGTGACAATTAAATTTTTTTAATTCTAAAATAAAATATAATTTTATTTCATTGGTTAAAAAAAATGAATTTGCATATGTTATCTCATTTGACGATTATTAAGATATAAATTTTAATGTGAAAAGATAATTTTTTTTTTGTTATTTAAAAAATTTAAATCAAATCACTATTTTTAGCTATTTATACCTACGTGACTAATAAAAATAAACTCTGAAATATCATTTGTTAATTTTGCTTATGTGGCAATTAATTTTTTTAATTCTTAAATAAAAGTTGAATATATTTTTTCATTGATTGAAATAATATATTTGCTTATGTGGCCCTCCGAATGCTCCCAACAAATGCCTCCTTTGCGATGCACGGTTTTTTCATAAATAAAGCTCACAAAATGATAATTCTCCTAATTAGACTGTATAATATTTTGATTAATTTGATATTTAGCGCAGTGAATGAATAAACCCTATAACACGGAGGAAGTAAGTCAAGTAACCCATGTAACACCGACCGAGTAACCCCTATAACACTAACGAAGTAACTTTAATGATGGTTGGCTACGTCCTGTGGCCAGCCACTGCACATATAAAAATTGGTGTTTGACATTGCTTATTAGAGGAGGATATTTTTTAGGAAAAATTGCTTTAAATAATACCACCTTTCACCTGTCCTCTAAAAACAAGTCGATCTTTTGATTATCTCTAAATAATACCACCTTTGGGGGGTGTCCGCTTTAAAAAAGTCATTTTACCTACAACCTGAATAACCGGTTAACAATCGTCAGGTTGTAGGTAAAATGACTGGTTTAAAAAGAAAAAAAAAATTAACCGGTTATTCAGGTTGTAGGTAAAATGACTTGTTTAAAGCGGACACCCCCCAAAAGTGGTATTATTTAGAGATAATCAAAAGTTCTACTTGTTTTTAGCGGACGGGTGAAAGGTAGTATTATTTAAAGCAATTTTTCCAATCAATTATTATTTTTATAGTAATTCAACAATAAGAACTACTTAAGAATGTGGGAACGAAACCTAGAAATGATGTATAATTTCTACTTAATTATACAACAACCAATACTAATCAAAGTATTACAACCAAAGCACCAAAAGATCAAAGTATTACAGAAATTACAAAGAAAAACACTAATGTGAAAGATACTAAACTTGCCTCAACTCCAAGCCTTTAAAGATGAACATGAACATGAGAATACCGATGACCACTTGAGTCTCAAACCTTGATACTCTGTCTTAGGCGTGTATACACTTTCCTAAAGAGATTAATTTCCCCCACAACGGTGCTTGGGTTCAATCTGGAAATCCTCTTTGAGATACAAAAGATAGCACTTCGTTCTTAGCACAAAGAATCGAAATATAGATGATAAATTCACAAATTTGGCTAAATTGATAGAGATTTCAACAAGAGTTTGCAAGATTCTTGAGAGAAAAGAATGGAGAATCCTTGGAGAAGAAAAATAAAAGTAAAGATCTCTATTTTCAGAAAAACGAACCCCCTTTAATAAAAGGAAATAGCCGCACGAAAATCGCAGACGAGGGAAGCAGCGCGGGCGCGACTCACGGCGGCGCAGGCGCGCCTCCCCGATTCTGCCAAAATCTCCCTTGATCCAGAGAGTTGACGCGATTTTGTCGTGCTTTCAACGCGGGTCGCGCCTACCTGGCGCGGGCGCGCCACTTCGAAATCGAAATTTCTTCACTGGATCCAGTAAGTCAGCGCGATTTTATCACGCCTTGATCGCGGTTCGCGCCCTATATAAGAGACGCACAATCCTTACGGATTCATACACTCTAAATTACTAACAATCCTCCCCCATTTAGAGTGTATACTTAAAAACCTTCTCCACTACTATCAATTTAGCCACATCTCATGCATCAATGTCAATGTCCCTTCGGATTGAATTAACACCTAGTACAACACACTTAACGATGATCATATCCCATGATTTCCATATGGATTGAATCACACGGATATATCCAACCATTCAAAGGTGAAGTACACACAAGACAAATCGAATTAATCATCACTTGACACTTTTACACAGCCATGTGTTCGTATCTTTCATAAGTTCATCAAAGTCTATATGTCCATCTAGACTTTTTAAAGCGGCTAAACTTCGAACTTATATAGGTAGGTTCTCATATACGTAATAGTGCCCTTGTGATAAGACACCTTCATTTAGAGCTTCTCAACTCTAAATCTTTGATAACTTTAAATAAACGTTACCATGCACATCACAAGTACCATAGCAATACGGGTCATCAAACATTGCTAATAAACAACAAAAATGCAATTCAACCACATTGAATCTAAGACTTGATGTTTCTTCAAGTGTTAGATTGGGTTTCATAAATTCGTGTTTTTGGACATAAACCCATTCCATTCATAGCAAATATGATGGAATGCCTTGGCATTGCTTTAGTAAAACAATCTGCCAAATTTAATTTTGTTGGAACATAGTCAAGACTTATGACCCCATCATTGATAAGCTCTTTCACTAGGCTATGCCTTAATGAAATATGCCGAGACTTACCATTGTACACTTGACTATAAGCCTTTATCAACGCCGAATTCGAATCACAATGGATTGCCATAGGTGGCATTGGCTTTGGCAATAAAGAGAATTCTATCATGAGATTCCTCAACCACTCAGCTTCCTTACTAGCTGAAGCAAGAGCTATAAACTCCGCTGCCCTAGTGGAATCTGCAATGCAAGTTTGTTTCTTGGAAGACCATGAAATGGCACCTCCCCCAAACATGAATACCCAACCACTAACAGAAGAGTCATCCTCTTTGTAAGTGATCCAAATAGCATAAAAAAACCCTTCTAAAACTGAAGGAAATCCACTATAAATCAGACCATAGTCTAACGTACCCTTATGGTACCTCAAGACCCTCCGAATCGCAAACCAATGCTGAACACCCGGGTTACTAGTAAATCTACTAAGTTTCCCTACATCCAATGCAATATCCGGTCTTGTACTAGTCATGGCATACATCAAGGATCCTATTATCCTTGAATATTCCAATTGGAAAACCGTTTTCCCCGAATTCTTAACCAATTTAACATTAGGTTCCATGGGGGTGTTCACGGGACACTTATCAAACATATTAAACCGTTTGATCATCTTCTCAATATAATGAGATTGACTTAAGATAAGTCTTCCATTGTCCCTAATAATCTTGATGCCCAAAATGACATTCACCTCCCCCAAATCCTTCATCTGAAAAGATGAGGATAAGAATTCCTTGGTCAATTCTACTTGTTGTAGACTTGTACCAAAGATAAGCATATCATCAACATATAGACAAATGATGACACACCATGACCTTTGTCATCAAATTTTCTATATATACACTTATCAGCTTGATTCACTTTGAATCCAAGGAAAAAATCGTGTCATCAAATTTCCGATGCCACTGTTTTGGTGCTTGTTTAAGTCCATACAATGACTTAACCAATTTGCACACCTTATCTTCCTGTCCTTCCAAAACAAACCCTTCGGGTTGTTTCATATACACTTCTTCCTCTAGATCTCCATAAAGGAATGTCGTTTTGACATCCATTTGATGAATCACTAGATTATATACCGAAGCCATTGCAATCAATAACCTTATCGAGGTAATTCTTGCAACCGGTGCATAGGTACCGAAATAATCAACACCATGCTTTTGCCTAAAGCCTTGGATAACTAATCTGGCTTTAAATTTCACTATGGAGCCATCCGGTCTTCTTTTCCTAGTGAAAATCCATTTGCAACGAAGAGGTTTGCAACCAGGAGGTAAATCCTCTATGACCCAAGTATTATTTCCCATGATGGAATTCATCTCATCATTTATAGCTTCC